TTTACCTGGGAATCGATTCTCTTTACCACCACACTAAATGTCAATGTCACTCCAATGTCATCGGTTGTCAAAAATATTAAGGTTGTCACCTTCAGAATCATTGGTAATCAACGTCTATGTGACAGACTCGACCCATTGGCTTTGCGGCGAGATATTGCATCTCTGTGCATTTTCTACCGCATATATCATGGGGAGTGTTCTGAGGAATTGTTCGGATTAATACCAGCTGCTGAGTTTTACCACCGTACCACCCGCCAGAAACTGAAATACCATCCTGATCATCTGGATGAATGGCGATCTTCCACAGTACGGTTTTCTAGAAACTTTTTGCCTCGCACAACCACATTGTGGAATCACCTTCCAGCAATGGTATTTCCGAACCGATACGATATTGAAACCTTCAAGAAAAGAGCTTATTCCTTTTTAAAAGGCCGACAACGTACTTGCAATTCCCCTGGTGTTGCGGGTGCTCATGGGCGGCGGTAATTACTTACCATCAGGTGAGCCGCATGCTCGTTTGTCCCCTGTGTTATAAAAAAAAACCGATTGGCGCGAAAATGAGAATGCGATTACACAATGAACATTCGTAAAAGAATGACAGATTCCAAATTCAAATGTAACATTTTTAATTTTAATTGCCAGAGTATTTATGGCCAGACTATGTAAATAAAATCAACTGAGTGCTACACATATCTTCGTATAGCTCCGACACTGGACACCAAGCAGTCAGCATGTAAAAATCTCTAGTGAAACTTGGGAATCGTGGTGGAAAATTTGCACGGTTCGTTTGTGTTACTTTGGAGAGTCAATTTTTCCTACTCCCTTTTACATTTGACGAGAGTGAATTAAGTATGGCGGGCTCTTGAGAGAGAAAAATGTTGGCAACGGCGATTTTTAAAGGTCAATTTGTTACAGTTGGCTGGAATCAATGATATAGAATTTCTTGCACTCAAAAATACAATACTAATGTTATTGAAATGTAATAAATAAATCTAGAACGTTTATGAGTAACTAGTACACAGCGCCATCTAGTTCCAAACTAAGTTTAACTTGTATTATGTATTATATTATTGTGTAGTATGTACATTTTACCGATACACACACTTTTTTATTAATTTCAATTTGCGGATAGTCTGTCATACTTGGGAAATAAGTATATTCTTAATATAGGTATATTAATAAACACAAATATTTGTCTGCGCAAGGAATTGAACCTGATAATTCGAAATCAATGCAGGTAATGTAGCGATACTAAGGACTTCACTTGCGGCAACTGTTACCATTTGCTAGACGGCCGCCATTTTTGCCATTTCAGTTAATTAAAAAAAAGTGTAGCATATAAATCTTATTGCATTCATATTTTTTATGGATGATAATGGAATGGTGCACCCGCCTGCGCTAACGGTTTATGCTGGCGGCGCACCAGTGGAGGATGATAAGATAGCATGAGGTCAGGTTAGTTAGACCACTGGCAAATTCTCCAAGAATATATAACGATGGTGCCAGGGGAACCGCGTGCAGGTCAACCTGACATGGTACATTGCTAGCAATAAGATCATCACATCCCCTCCGATCGATCCCCCATCCTATTCAAACGGGGATCGAAATTATGATGGCCTAAGCGAGGTTTGAACCCCTAGTGGTGCCTTCAGACTAAAGTCGTATCCATCAGGAGAGAGTTAGCATTCAGCCGCTCTATAAGTCCTTCCGCGATGTTTGAGTGCCATCTGCACTCCCCCACTACCGTACGGTGAAGCTGTAAAGGACAGTTGCGGCCAACAGCATTAGTCAAAAAAATTCAAAATATCTTTCTTCATATAGGTCTATTACAGACTCTTATGATATGTCCAATCTACCGTCAGTTTGGAGTGATTTCTGACAAGAAACTCAGCTCGTATTCATTTCAAATAAATGTTATACATATTGTCCACGCCTAAAATGGAAATTAGGTTGGCAACACTGAAAGAAAGTTCTTTCTTCTGCATCTATTGTCATGTCTCTCTATACAAAACTCTATGAACAACAAACGACTTTGAATTTGTAATTCTTTATTTACATCAAGTAATGATCGCATTGATCACATATAGATGTTTACAACAATACAAATTAATTTTTAAATTCAATTTTGGGAGAATAGATTGGCCACCAGCATATGCTATTGCAAAAGCAAATAGTCTAATCAGTATTCGTAACCCAAACAGTACCCACAAGCAGCACCCAAAAAAAAAAATCAGTCCACATTTCTAGCAATCCTTTTTATTTTTCGGACTACTCTAATGCTGTTTGCCGTAGCTGGCCTTTACAGCTTCACCGGACGTTATGGGGCGAGTGCAGATGGCACTCCAAACCCGCGGAAGGACTTATGGAGCGGCTGAAGGCCAACTCCTGCCCGACGGATACGACTTTAGTCTGAGGGCACCACTAGGGGTTCGAACCTCGGCTCAGGCCGTCGTAATTTCGATCCCCGTTTGAATTGGACTCGAAGGGGGATGCTTTCCCTCTCCATTTATATTATTCTACGAGATTGAACCTGCTACTGATGAGATGTTAAGATGAAATTGCGACTGGTTACTAACATAATAAACGTGCGTTAGTTCTTCACATCCGGTATTCACAAAATAATAACATACTCGTATACAGTCAAATAAGCAAATTATGTTAACCAATTAACTTAAAAAAACAACGTTGAGCTTCCTGCCAGCTCTTCTCAAAGAAAACCGTCACTTCACCTGGATAGTAGAATAAAGAAATAATGTAGAAACTCATACATTTTTGTGGCTATTAATCTTATTGTGTATTTATGTTTGGCCCAAATAAATTAGTGCTGGTTGGTAGTTTGTATTCACACGTTTCGAATTGTATAATGTGAACTTACAAGGATTGTTTAAAAGAGCAACACACTAGTTTCTTGCTCGTTCTTCTCGTGATGAGATAGCTTTCCGAATGAGCGGTAGATTAAAAAAAACATTGTTATGACTATTCAAAAGTGCTTTAATGTAAGTTTATTTGAATAAATGATTTCTTCTCTTCTGATTCTTTCTGTTCTATTCTATTCCGTATTTTTAAATATGTATATTTTATATGAATACCAGCTGACCGAAATTCCGTAATTTCTTCTGCATCACACTTACATCACATTTATCATTATATATCATCCAATTTACATAATATCTTTTAAAATTATAGCCTGTGTGTTATTCTGATGTATAAGCTACATTACTGCAAAGTTTCATCAAAATCCGTTCACTAATTTTACCAGCCATCCATTACTCACAAAATTTCGCGTTTATAATATTACTAGCTGTGCCTGCGGTTTCACTCGCATGTAATATATAGCCGATATGGTATTCTGAAGTATAAGCTATAGTCGTGTTTAAGCTATATTATTTGAATAAATGATTTTCTATTCTATTCTATTCTAATGTCCTGTAGAGCATTTTTTAATGGATTATAAAAATAATAACCCCGGATAATTCACATATAGTCATCTAGTACCAAGTTATACGTAGAGCTTGTTTTACGGGCACTAAACAACTGTTATAAATATTTTAAATATTTTTTGGTTATAGATACGTAATATAATATATGTATAGAACATAGAACATACTCATAATTGAAGTAAATCAAAAATATTTTACATTTCACATTTATGCACGAGTGATCTATGTTTCGAATAACAATTTATTTAATAGTATTAATCATAAAAAAGCATGCGTCCAGATTATATGATGAACATTTTTTACCCTTAAATAAATTCAAGACATCTGTTAAATCATATTTACTGAGCAAAGCCTATTACTCACTAAACGATTACTTGAATGACGAGCGTGCATGGCAATAGTTGTTCATGCACGGGATTTTCATTTAATGTTAGACATAGACACCTATATAAATATACCTTGAAAATAAACTGGCTTTTAAAAAAAATAAGTAATTCAGTTGAGTTTCTTGCCAGTTCTTCTCAAATTTATCTATATACCGAACTGGAAGGTAGGGAAAAAAATTAAAATTATAATTTAAAAACTTGACGTTCATAAGCGGCTAAAATGTCCTACATGAATAAATGATTTTTGAATTGAATTTGAATTTGAAGGGGTACTTGCCGTACAGTATCAGTAAAACAAACTTTCACATATTCTTATGTAATATATAATGGAACACATATTTATCTCGCAAGTCTCAATCATCATCATTGCCTTGCCTTTATCCCATTATTTGTGCCGGCGCAGTATGTCATTCTCTTCCACTGCTCTCTATCAGTCGTCATATCTAAACATACTCTTCTTTTATTCATATCATCTTTCACACAATCCATCCATCTTTTCTTAGGGCGTCCCCTCCCTTTACATCCATCCACATTCATATTATACACTTTCCATAAGACATGTTCCTCATTCCTCCGCATAACAATGAACCAAATTTGACAGGTTTGTGTGAAAGAGTTTTTGAGTTATGAGGGGGTCAAAAGTGGCTCCAAATGGTTCGTGTAAACATACACACGGTGCTGCTCGCCAGTTTACTTGAAACTCGGCTTGACATGCTACCGCGTGTCTAGATATTAGTGTGTTTGCTACAATAAGCGTTACGTAAGGGTTTTTTTTTTGAAGTGTTACGCAGCACAATCTATTTGGGAACCACTACTAGAAATCATACCGACTCAAACTCTTCTCAATTGGATCTATATACTGAACTGGACGATTTTTTAATTTGAATTTCAATATTCTAACCTCTAAATAAACTATTTATAAACTATTTATCTAATACAAATATGCGGGAATCGAACCCACGACCATTGTAATGCGAAGCAATGTATTAAATCACTACCAAAGTTGTCATTATATATAATAACATCTTATTGAATGATAAAGCAGTTAAAATTGGATATCATTCCTTGTAATTTTATCGTATGTCTACATACTATTGTATGAATAGGCACAAAGGTTAGTATTTTAAAAAACAACCACACTGTTATCATTTGTTTAGTAAGAAACTAGCTGTACACGTGTGCGGTAAGTTATTGAAGTAAGTTATAATAGTAATTTATTTATTTCCTTGCAATATCAAATGTATACGGCACTCAATATACATAGAAAATCCAAATCAATATAAACTATCGAATGACGAGCGTGCATGGCAATAGTTTTCATGTTCGGGATTTTCATTTAATGTTAGACATAGACACCTATATAAATACCTATGCATTGTAAATAACTGGATTTAAAAAAAAAAGTAATTCAATTGAGTTTCTTGCCGGTTCTTCTCAATTGGATCTATATACCGAACGGGACGGTAGGGAAAAAAATTATAATGTAAAAACTTGACGTTCATAAGCGGCTAAAATGTCCTACATGAATAAATGATTTTTGGATTATGAATTTTGAATTTTTTGAATTCTGAATTCATGAATTTACATTTCGTAGTCATACTCCAATTATTTAAAGTCGCTTGAAATTGGCGGATTCATTATTTAATAATATTAGATAAGTAAAAAATAATGTTATGACTATTCAAAAGTGCTTAAATTAAGTTTATTTGATTAAATGATTTTCTATTTTATTCTATTCTATTCTGATCTGTTCTGTTCTGTTCTGTTCTGTTCTGTTCTACTCTACTCTACTCTAATTTATTATATTCTATTCTATTAGTTTAAAAGAAGTAGGTATACATTGTAAATTTGGATATTACTAACTACTTATGTTATTGCATAAGTACATAATATTACAAATATATGATCATGATCAATTCTACATAAAATGTATAATTTCATTGACGGCCTCGGTGGTCTAGCGGTTAAATAGACTTATTTGCCATATTAAACGCCATATTTGGTCTATAAGTCTTGAAATATATCTGTATAATTGTAATATTGTAAATACGTAAAGTTTGTGAGGATCAAATGATGGATCGATTTTGATAATTTTATTATTTTTAAATAGCCTATTTATCAAAGAAGACTGTGGACTGTATAAAATTATGCTACAACCAATAACATTATTATTTAAAATAAGCCAATGTAGTTAATTCATTGTAACAGATACATTTATAATTATTTATACTGCTATATTCATCTTTACATATATAAAAATAAAGTCCCTTCCGCTGTTTGTTTGGTGTAAACTAACCAAATACGTTTATTGCAGTTTGTAGCAATATATAGAGTAATTCAAGAGAAACGTTTATGAATATAATAAGAAGAGTAATCGTCTATCATGGTATGGACATGTAATGCGTAGGAACGAGGATAATATTTTAAGAAAGGTGTTACATATGAATGTGGATGGTTATAAAAGCAGAGGAAGGCCAAAAAAGAGATGGATGGACTGTGTGAAAGATGATAATGGTAAGAAAGGAAGTAAATAACGCGATGACTGCGAACAGGGATGAATGGAAGCGAAAAACATATTACGCTGACCACAAATAAATGGGATAAGGAAGAAGCAGATGTTTATGAATATAATACATGTACACTCGTGCGAAGCCGGGTGGATAGATTAGTTGGTTATAAGTTTTTGTAGAGAAATACTCTTGTTTACAATTAAATATAGGTATGTAATATTATATTATCTGTGATATAGGTAAGGTGGTCTGTTCGTAATTAAATCTATGTAGTAATAATAGCGTGTGAGACGTGGACATTAAATCAAAAGGAAAGAGACAAACTGGAGGCTTTTGAAATGTGGTGTTGGAGAAGGATGGAAAGAATTAGCTGGAAGGATAAAGTAAGAAACGAAGAAGTACTACACAGGGTAAAAGAAAAAAGACAAATATTGAACACCATAGAAAATAGACGAGGAAAAATGTTAGGGCAATTGATACGGCACGATGATTTCATGAAAATTATTATTGAGGGGAAAATAGAAGGAAAGAGGGGGAGGGGAAGACCAAGGAATAGCTACATCAAACAAATTGAGGACAAAATGGGAGTCGTGTCGTATCAAGAATTAAAGAGCATGATGGAAGATCGCGGACACTGGCAAGAGCTCCACCGACAAGAGCGTAGCTCTTAAATTTTGAATGAATGAAATAATAGTAATGTTAAATAGTATATTACTTAATAAGTTCATTAAGAACTCGTTAGGTCTAATACTAAACTGTGTTTAGTAAATTATCATGATTACATAGTATAAAACAAAGTCGCTGTCGCTGTCTGTCCGTCCCTATGTATTAAATCTCTAAAACTACGCAACCGATTTTGAAGCGGTTTTTTTATATAGATAGAGTGATTCTAGATAAAGGTTTATATATATATAATATATGTGCAATTGTCACGTGTGTAGGTGTAATAACTAGAATTGAGAGTGGCTTGGTATTTTTTGAGCTATTAGTCTTTTGGAGTTACAAGTTGAGCCTTCTTTCATTAAGTTAATTATCCTTTTATTTGAGGTCAATCTTTTTTGGCTTCTAGCTATTGAAACTATTATACAACTCGTCCGTTCTGTTCCTTGGCTGCTCGTATAATGCCTTTTTGTCTGAGTCACCGTTTACAGGCCGCGATCTTGTACCGCACTAGCACGAAAAACCGGAAGTTATAACAGTACCGCATAAAATGCGGTTAATTGATAGGTAATACCGAAAAGTTCATTAATAACCGGTTTCGCATCTATAATCAGGTTGTTCGTCAGATTATTAGCCATTTCAGTTAAATAAAAACTGCAGCATCTGGAGATTAAGGAAATAATTTCCTTAAAACGTTGAAGATCGCATTGAAACAACTTATTTCTCACATAGGGACCGGCATTTTTTTTATTGTTAATTACGTATATTATTTTTAAATATGTTTTTAATGTACAATAATTTGCGGTAGACATTATTTAACACCTAGATTTATTTCATTTAAAGTGTCCACGGGTGATCACTCGGTCCCAACTTGTATGATAATATATAATAATTCGTTAAACAGTAGGTTCAGTTCAAATTTATTGTACACTAGCTTTTGGCCGCGGCTTCGCTCGCGTTAATTTATCCTCTTAGGGGTGGAATTCATCAAAATCCTTTCTTAGGGAATGTCTACGTCATAGTAGCTTTATGCATGCAAAGTCTCATCCCGATCGGTTTGATATTGATAAAGTTTTATAGAAACTTTCATCCCCTATTTTATCCCCTTGGGGGTAGAATTAATTAAAATCCTTTCTTAGCGGATGTCTACGTCATAATATCTACCTGCATGCCAAATTTCAGCCCGACCCGTCCAGTGGTTTGGGCTGTGCGTTGATAGATCACTACGTCAGTCACCTTTGAGTTATATATGTATATTTAGATATGTTTTATCATTGGTTTTAATTGAAAACGTCTAATAAGATTGAGAGGTTATAATAGGGTAATTATTAAATTACGCATTTTTTTTCTCGCCTAATCATTTTACCCGACTGAAGAAAAAGAGGAAAATGTTTTTTGATTTTTTTTTATATATACAATTATCTTGTCACAATGTTAGTTACTATACTTCTCCGAAGCGGCTTGACCCATTTTTATGAAATTTTATATGCATATTCAGTAGACCTGAGAATCGGCTATCTATTTTTTATACCTCTTTTTATTTTTTGGACTATACTTTTTATTTTTAAATGTGCCTAGAAATACAGACAACCCTAAATTGTCACCCTTATATCACCAAGCCCCATTTTTTAATAGCGATTTTAGTTTATATGACAAAATTACGTTTGCGAGGTCAGCTAGTAAGTTTAAGAAGTCTCAAATTAAAATTAACTTTTTTTGTATTTAAGGGTTAATATTTCCAAATATGACTTAGGATAATTTTTGGAAGTTTATGTATTGTATTGATGTAGATTAATTTCACGCATTTCTTATATTACTTTTTTTTTTTTTCAAATATTTAGGTCAACAAACAGTTACACATTATAAATCATTATATATTTCTATACTAATATATTATTATATTTCATGTATAATGATAACAAAAACCTACTACAATTTACACAGCGCCATCTAGTCAAACCTAAGCAGTGTTTATAGGTTCTAGACAACTGATACATACCAAAATACATTTTTATTGTAAATACACAATTAATACACATAGAAAACACCCAAAGTATCATTAACACTCATGAATTAAAATGTTTGTACTGTGCGAGTAATCGAACCCGCGACCGTCAGTTTTTTTTTAATTTTTTTTTTTTATTTCAGAATGTTGAGTTACGTAATAATAGCACTGTGCGCAGTCACTGTTTGGCTATATTTATATTGGAGGCATACATCTCAGTATTGGAGCAAGCGAGGCGTACCTCATCTCCCGCCGCATCCTGTATTGGGCAGTCTAACCTTCCTGCAGCGACAGAATCCGGTATTTTGACCATATATAATATTGTTAGTCAATATAATGCAAAATAATAGTATAGGTTGATTAAACTTAGTTAAAAATTAAGTAAGTTTAACTATGGTTTGGAAAAATCTTTAATTTTGACCGTATAATATAATATTCTTTGTAAGTGTAATAGAAAATAATAGTATAGGTTGATTAAATTAGTTAAAAATTAAGTAAGTTTAACAATGGTTAAACTTTTTTATCATGTGGAAAAATCTTTGATTTTGACCATACAATATAATATTTTTTTGTAAATACAATGAAAAATAGTTGATTAATTTATCTAAAAATTATGTAAGTTTAACTATAGAGTTTTTTAAGGTGCGGAAAAATATTTGACGGCCTCGGTGATCTAGCGGTTTAGCACACCGCGTTACGTCCGATGGTCGCGGATTCGATTCTTCGCAAATCACAAATATTTGTATTCACGAGTATGATGGTTTATATCGGCCTGGGTTTTCTTTGTATATTATGTATTAACGAAAAAAAATTGTGTATTTGTATCAGTTATCTAGTACCCATAAAACAAGCTTTAGCTAGCCTAACTTGGGTCAAGATAACGCTGTGTGAATTGTCCTGAGATTATTATATATTAAACTAGCTGTGCCCGTGTTTTACCGGCATTAAATTTCAATAAAAATGTAGTCTATATATTATCCTGATACATAAGCTATATTACTGTAAAGTTTCATCAAAATCTGTCCAGTAGTTTTTGCGTGATAGAGTAACAAACATCCATACTTACAAACTTACGCATTTATAATATTATTACTATTATAATTTTAATTATTTATGGACGTACTTTAATTTATTATATGTTTTTAGGCACTATGGCTGCAAGAGATATACGAACGATTCAACTCTCCATATGTTGGTCTATGGCTAGTATGGCGCCCGGCTTTGTTGATTAACTGTCCCGAGATAGCACGAAGAGTTCTGGTCAAGGATGCTGATAACTTCAGAAACAGGTTCTTGAGCTCCGGGAACTCAGATCCCATTGGACAACTGAATTTGTTCACTGTGAAAGTAAGTACTTAATTACCAATTTTTACCACTTGTGTACACTGGGCACACTTGGCACGTGTCCAAGGCCCAGAGATTGATTGGGGCTCCCTAGTCTAGTCTAGTCCCCAGTCTAGTTCAGTCCCCAGTCTAGTCCTGTCCCCAGTCTAGTCCAGTCCCCAGTCTATCCAGTCCCCAGTCCAGTCCCCAGATAGTCCAGTCCCCAGATAGTCCAGTCCCCAGATAGTCCAGTCCCCAGTTTAGTCCAGTCCCCAGTCTAGTCCAGTCCCCAGTCTAGTCCAGTCCCCAGTCTATCCAGTCCCCAGTCCAGTCCCCAGATAGTCCAGTCCCCAGTTTAGTCTAGTCCTCAGTCTAGTCCAGTCCCCAGTCTATCCAGTCCCCAGTCCAGTCCCCAGATAGTCCAGTCCCCAGATAGTCCAGTCCCCAGTCTAGTCCAGTCCCCAGTCTATCCAGTCCTCAGTCTAGTCCAGTCCCAGTCTAGTCTAGTCCCTACTCTATTACCAAACGATAACCGATAGCACTACTCTCACCTAAAAATCAGTCTTAACAAATACTTACCAACTATGGTCAATTTGTTCGTTTTTTTTTAATTTTTTTATAAATCTCTAGCAAGAACTTCAACTCCTCATTATATAACGACTTTTTTAATTATTTTTGCCTGGTTTATTTTGAAGGTAGGGCATCCCCATATCTCTGAAGAGTTATAGTTCAAAAGTGACTATGTCTATTCTAACAAAATAGTGCTTTATTACTATAGTCGTAGGGGCCCCATTATCCTAATGTGCCTTGGGCCTCTAATAGGTGAAAGACGCCCACTTGTATGTGTAGTAAACGTCATATTTTATATCGCTATCGTTTAGTTAGGCTTGATTTCTTACCAGCTGTACTGTAGTAGCTGTACAGTTGAGAAGAACTGGTAAGAAATCTAAAAAACAAAATGTACCAGTTGTTTTCTAGTCGGTTTCAATTTAAAGTTGCATAATGTTTGTTTGAAAATACCTTCAGCTTTATTTCTTGCTATATGTCCTCGTACTTCTGGTACGTAGGTAGAATAAATGTATGAATATTTGAAATAAATGTTCTCTAGCTCAAGCCAAAATAAAAATAAAAGATTTTTTAATAAGTCTGGACTATGATCAATGTGAGAAATTGTTTCAAACCGAATTTTAATTACATAAAGCCTCAGTAGTACTTAATATGTGTATATCTATTGTATGTATTAATATATTTTATATTTATTACTATTTATAGATATTTATTTATTATATATATACTTTGTAATATAACGCCATAAGTGTTGCATGATATTGTTAAGTTGTTTCATTAAAGTCAGCCGAGCACCTAACATATCAATTATGTGTAATGATATCCTCTGAACCACACGATACAGACTCGCCGTAATGTGTATTGAATGTAAAAGTGTTTTATTGGCCAATAAAGTTTATTATTATTATTATTATTATTATTATTAAATATTTGTAACGTTCTTTCTAAATATTGAACACCAATTTTACTAATATTAACTTTGTAAATCTATTGCTTTCTAAAATGAGAGTCCGATAAAAGGTGAAGGGAATATATAGGTATAACTTAGTCTTTGAGTAACGCATTATGATCACAGGTGATAACTGATAACGTGATAATGTGATGTCTATATATACGGCGACGGTTACCACTTACCATTAGGCGGGCCGTCAGCCTCTCTATTATTCCAGTTACACACAAAAAAACTATTTATTGAACACTATTATCGAACAAATAGACAAGGGAAATTGTTGAAACACTTGATACGATGTATTTATGAAAATTACTAGCTGTGCTCGCGGTATTATTCGGCAGCCTATTATTCTGATGCATAAGCTATATTTCTGTAAAGTTTCATAATAATTCGTTCAGTAGTTTTTGCGTAAAATAGTAACAAACATCCATACTTACAAACATTCCTGTTTATCTAATAGACGGACAGAGGGGAGGGGGGGGGGGGAAGGCCAAGGCATGGTTCATCATCATCATCATCATCATCGCAGCCCGGAAGATGTCCACTGCTGGACATAGGCCTCCCCCAAAGATCTCCACGACGATCGGTCCTGCGCTGCTTGCATCCAATGCCTTCCAGCGATCTTGACCAGATCGTCGGTCCATGGTTACATCAGGCAAATTAAACACAGAATAGGAGTCGTGTCGTATCAATATTAAAGAGGATGATGGATCATGGGAAGTTGCAGGAGCTTCGACAAGAGTACGGCTCTTAAATTATAAATTAATGAATGTATTTCTCTACTCAGGACCCTGTATGGACTTACTTAAGGAAACGCCTAACTCCAGTGTTCACTTCATCAAAACTCAAGCATCTGAACGGTCTGGTCACTGAAAAGGGGAGCCAGTTAATTCAACGTATACACAACGAAATTAATAAACATGAACCAATCAACCTGAGGGTAAGTCCCAGATCTTATCATAAATTTTAATAACAATAATGCTAGATAATACACACAGTACCATCTTGTCCCAAGCTATGTTTATGTCATGCCTACTAATTTTTTTATTTTTTTTATTGGATTGTTTGGGCTATTGTCAGATGTGTAGCACCTGTAGCACTGCGACTACATAGATCTATTGTGCTCGCCCTTTTTCAAAATCGCTACCTAGACCCGTCAGGGACAAGAATTGAAGGATATTCTTAGGAGCATGTTTTTATCTTATAAATTTAATATTTTGTTTATGCATATCTACAACCACATAGGATGTGAACAGTTTGGCAATAGATGCCTACTAAACCATGTGTACAGTTTCACCAACATTTCGTTTCACTCTTGAAAGTTGCCATGATTTATAAATTTAGTTACTACCACAAAAATTAGTTTTAGTTAATTATTTTTTCAATTTTTGTGGCTAAACAACAGCAGATAATGAAAAAATGAAGAGGACCTGTTTTGTGCAGAATTTTTTTCTCTACAACTTTTATTTAAAACATTTTTTCATATTTCTTACCGTCATCGAGTTATTTTGAAAAAAAAGGCGTTTTTCAACAGTTTTTTTTTTTATTTTTTCATTCCTTTCCCGTTAGCTTGAATTAAAATTTCTTTTTGAATATTATTATTCACTTTGTCTTTGTGGACTAATTTTTATACTGTATATTGCGCCCAAAACTGGTCACATCGTGTTTAATTTATAATTTTCCTAGATTATTAGTATTTTAACTGTACCACTTTCGTAATATATTAAATCATTAATAACTGTGAACTTAAAATTAACCCAGCCGGAATATTCTAGTCTACAAATACAGGCAACTGTCATCAGTACCATTCTACAGCGCATATAGTATAGATAATTGATAGAAATACTTAAATATTATTATTTGTACTTACATACATAATGTATAGAAAATACCCAGACCAATAAAAGATATTCATTTGCATAGTGTGAGGAATTGAACCTGCGACCATCGAAAGTTAAGCATATTGTATTTACATTGTCAACCGTGTCTTAACATGAATAATTTTATGCTAAATAACCGATACTCTGTGCAGTTGAAGAGTCTGTATAATAACACAAATTAGCATTTTATTTATTTTAATATTTAAATATAGTACAATTGTCAACCGTGTCTTATCATGAATAATTTTATGATAAATTACCCATACCTGTATGCACTACAAATATTTGAATTCCTCGGCTTTTTCTATACTATAACACACATGTATGATACATATAAATCTTCCTCTTGAATCACTCTATCTATTGCTGAAAACAGAATTAAAATCCGTTACGTAATTTAAAAGATGTAAGCGAATAGACAGTTGCGTCGACTTTGTTTTATACTATGTAAAGATTTACCTCTCGTGACCACACTGCTGCAATCTAGTCAAAACGTCGAGAGTAAATACCTTTATTTAGAATAATACTTACCAATATTCCGTGGCATCTTCATAGTAGTGTTTTATCGATAGAAATGATTTATGTTGCCGTCAATCGATCTTACATAATCGCATTTTAAAATTGAAATTATCTTGTATCGCATCACAACTTCAACAGAAACGATTTCATATAGAGTTACATTATTAGCCCCCCTCTGTTAACAATATAAATAGAATAGAATAGAATAGAAATCATTTATTCAAATAAACTTACATTGAAGCACTTTTGAATAGTCATTAAATTTTTTTAATCTACCGCTCGTTCGGAAAGCTGTCTCATCACAAGAAGAACGAGCAAGAAACTTGCGTGTTGCTCTTTTAAATAATTTTATTATTACTTTACATTTTTAAGTTTAAGTGTGCGAATACAAACCACCAATTAGCACTAATTCAATTAAATACTCAAATAGAAAAAATATTGAATATATAACCAACTTGTTAAACAATTAATAAGAGGAAATCAGTCATAGTGATTAGAGCAGACCAGTCCCTACAAGCACCCGTTCACGAATATGACGAATGTGAACTAAACCCGACAGTTAAAAAATGTTACTACAGGCTATGTACTCGGATTATACTACGGATATAATCGGAACGTCTGCTTTTGGCGTGACCAGCGACGCCACCCTGGACGGGAAGAGTCATTTGCGGGACATCACCAAGGAGTTCATGAAATTCAGCATATACAGAGGCCTGGCGTGGTCTAGCATATTTTTCTTCCCGAAAATTGTCGACGTTTTCAGGTATTTAATACATAAGTGTATACATAATTATAATTTAGAGAACAAAAATGCACATATACCATTAAACAGTCTCCACTATTTTACGGTATATGGCTATGTTAATGATTTTCCTAATGATGTTTTAAGATTTTTTTGGAGTTTATATGGTCAAACGGAAAATATTATTTTTATTCATTTCCGCGCCTCCGTGTGTTTGGGCGTCTAATTAAACGGGTAGTCAAAGGCCTAAGCCGAGGTTCGAACCCCTAGCGGTGCCCTCAGAGACTAAAGTCGTAACCCTCAGGCGATAATTGTCTTTCAGCCGCTCCATAAGTCCTTCCGCAGGTTTGGAGTGCCATCTGCACTCTCCTCTTATCGTTCGTTGAAGCTGTAAAACCCAGCTGCGGCCAACAACATTTAGAATAGCTGGAATAAAAAAATGAATGTTTGAATTTCCAGTTTGAACAATAATACTAAATTTTGAAATATATCCGATCCAATACGATATTGAAACCTTCAAGAAAAGGGCCTATCTTATTAAAAGGCCGGCAACGCACTTGCAATTCCCCTGATGTTGCGGGTGCTCATCGACGGCGGTGATCATTTACCATCAGGCGAGCCGCAAACTCGTTTGTTTCCTAAGCTATGAAAAAATCTATTGTTTTGTCATTTTGTAGATTTTCATTCTTTCCGAAATCTGCAACGGACTATCTTAAGAAAGTGTACCGGGCCATGGTAGAGCAGCGGAAAGGTGACCTCGGCCGAGAGACGAAAGACCTGCTTGATGCATTGTTGAAAATACAGGAGGACTCTAAGAAAAATAACGAAGGTATATAATCAATATATTGATTACAATCATATAAACAACTAGCTTTCCGCCCGCGGCTTCGCTCGCGTGGACTATAGGTTGTCGCGCGATTAAAGATACGTGCTCAAGGGGTGGAATTTATCAAAATCCTTTCTTAGGGGATGCCTATGTCATAGTAGCTTTATGCATGCAAAGACTCAGCTTGATCGGTTTAAAATTGACAAAGTTTCATACAAAATTTCATCCCCTATTTTATCCTATATAGGGTAGAATTAATCAAAATCCTTTCTTGGCGGATGCCTACGTCATAACATCTACCTGCATGCCAAATTTCAGCCCGATCCGTCCAGTGGTTTGGGCTGTGCGTTGATAGATCACTATGTCAGTCACCTTTGAGTTATATATATATAGATAGCTATATCATTCTTTCATAAGAAGGAGAAGAATAGAAAATTCTTTATTCAAATAAACTTAAATTTAACCACCTTCGAAAAAGAGATAAAATCTAGATATTTCTGGGATAGATGGACAAAATGCAGTATCTAATACATTCAACTGGTGGGAAGTGATTTCTTAGTAATGTGGACTAATAATCCCATTGCTAGCAATGTACCATATCAGGTTGATCTGCATGCAGTTCCTCTTAGAAATCATCATAATAAATACCTGATGAATTTGCCACAATGGGCCAACTGACCTGACCTCGTGTTCAGCTTATCATCCTCCACTGGCGCTCTTCCAGCGGATTCCGTTAGCGCAGACAGGTGAACTATATCAATAACATCCATAAAAAAATACACTTCACTATTTCAGAGATCAGTGAGGACATGCTCATATCCCAGGCAGCTATATTTCTTCAAGGTGGATTCGATACTTCAGCATCAGCCCTCACGTTTATGACTTATGAGGTTGCTCATCAACCACATATACAGGTATCTGAGTTTCTATATCTATACTAAGTTTCTATTTAAATTGTATATTATTTGAGTTAGATTCTAAATCAATTCTGCTCAATTCTATTCTATTATTTATTCTTTTATAATCTACTAGCCACTCGCCCCGACTTTGCACATACATACATGTATTGTACTTATAAACCTTCCTCTTGAATCACTCTATCTATTAAAAAAAACCACTTGCGTAGTTTTAAAGATTTAAGCATTCATAGAGATGGACAGACAGCGACAGTGTTATGTATATGCAGTGATTAAATTGTAACTAAATTCTAATTCTATTCAATTCTATTCTATCACTTTAAATCGTACAAAATTAGGTCTTATTTTCGTCTGATTTTAATATGATTATCTTTATAATTTTCTTCCTGAAGTTTTATATTTACAATACATGCATATCAGACTCGTATCAGAATGTTTTTTTTCTTTTTTCATAGAGGATAATCTCATAAGGATTAGTATGAAGTAAGTTAATGTTTTCCAGTAGGTACCGTGTGGAGGTCGTCCTTACAATCACTAATAAAAAATGTACAAAATATTAACAATCCTTTCTCCCCAGCCCCTACCGCATCAAGTTAAATCATTTGTCACAATTTTTTGTTCCGAATAAACTCCTAAAATACTTAATCTTAAACTAATTTTTATAAATACGCAAAAAGCTATAATTATATTTAGCTATAGCTATATAATTATATTTTTTACAGGATAAACTGTACAAAGAAATATTGGAGGCTACAGAAAAGTATAGTAAAGAAGAATTGAATTCGCTCATTTTGTTTAACGGCCTCCCGTACATGAACTGTGTCATTGATGGTATGTATTGTATTAAAATATAATAATAATCTCAGGACAATTCCCATCTAGACCCAAGTTAAGCTAGCTAAAGCTTGTGTTATGGGTACTAGATAACTGATACAAATACATAGTTTTTTTTTCGTAAATACATACATATTATACATAGAAAAACACCCAGACCGATACAAACAATCATACTCATGAAAGAAAGAAAGAAAGAAGAAAGAAAGAAAGAAAAATATTTTATTCAGTGCAATGTAAAAAATACAATATAAACAACAAACGAAAAAAAAGAGCAAATAAAATGTATATATAATTAAACTTAATTTACCATAATGAATACAAAATTTTGTGCCGTGCGAGGAATCGAACCCGCGACCATCGGACATAAAGTTACTGATATAGATACGTAGATACATTTCGCCGATACGACATTGAAACACTTGCAATTTCGTTGCGTCGCCGGTAATCACTTACCATCAGGTGAGCCGTAAGCTGGTTTGTCCCCTTCGTTACAAAAAAAAAATGCAGACCACATTCAAAGTGTACCTTGGTTCAAATGTTCTTTTTCCAATACTCTGCTAAAATTGCTCGTAAATTCAATACCTCTGATTAAATTACAGAGACTCTCCGAAAGTATCCCCCTATGGGATGGTTGGATCGTGTTGCTGTAAACAATTATAAGATAGACAGTAACCTGACCATCGCCGCTGGGACGCCGGTGTACGTAAATGCTATTGGGATGCATTACGACCCCAAATACTTCCCGCAGCCGAAGAAGTTCGACCCTGAGAGGTTCCTCTACGGAAGCACAGAGCCTTTTACCTATATGCCCTTCGGCGAGGGTCCAAGGATATGCATTGGTAATACTTCATAATATGATTTATTTAATTTCACAGCGCGTGTGTTATTCTGTATCTTTATAATATTACAGTTTTCTTATAGTTAATGTTAGTACGTACAGACATTACACAAACAAATCATCATCATCATTGCCTTGCCTTTATCCCATTATTTGGGGTCGGCGCAGTATGTCATTCTCTTCCACTGCTCTCTATCGATCGTCATATCTAAACATACTCTTCTTTTATTCATATCATCTTTCACAAAATCCATCCATCTTTTCTTAGGGCGTCCCCTCCCTTTACATATTATACACTTTCCATAAGACATGGTCCTCATTCCTCCGCATAACATGCCCATACCAGCTCAATCTGTTACCTCGCAACTTTTCTATAACCGGCGCAACTTTCAAACTTCCTCGTATATACACGTTCCTTATTCTGTCATTCCTGGTAACCCCACAGATCCATCTTAACATTCGCATTTCTGCCACATGCACATGCCTTTCGTCCATCCCCTTTACGGCCCAACATTCAGATCCATACAAAATGACAGGTCTTATGATAGATTTATAAACTATTAAATTACACAAACAAATATTAAATATAAATAACAACAAAAATAAATATTACTTTAAATTAAAATATCAAAAAAAATCACCGCTGTACCATTCCATTGGAAATGGCACAGCAGTGATTAGAATAGAATAGAATAGAATAGAAAATCATTTATTCAAATAAACTTAATTTAAGCACTTTTGAATAGTCATAACAATTTGTTTTTTATCTACCACTCGTTCGGAAAGCTGTCTCATCACAAGAAGAACGAGCAAGAAACTTGTGTGTTGCTCTTTTAAATAATCCTTGTAAGTTTACATTTACAAGTCGAAACGTGTGAATACAAACTACCAACAAGCACTAATTTTTGGGTCAAATATAAATATGCAATAAGATTAAATCAGTCGTAGTGATAAGAGCAGACCAGTCCCTACAAGCAGCACTCGTTCACGAGTATGACGGATGAGCCAGCCATCACTGCGCTCGACCATATTTTAGGGAGCCCATTGACCCGGCCCACCACGCCGCCACATGTCTGGACATTTTAGTGAGCATGACTACTCATTCCACACGACCACGTCACAGCTACAAAAATTACTATATGGTAGTTACAGTATTCGCACTTTACATAAGGATGCATGCGGCAATCAATACAAAAGCCGCTACGCTATCATATATCAAGAAAGCAGTATGAAAATTAAAATTATAACGTTGTCCGCAAATAAACTTATTCTTGCTATATATTGCTATCATCTATAAATTCATCTATCTTATAATAGGCTTTTTTACATAACATTTGTTTAATATAAGATTTGAATTGCCTCTCTGTAAGATTTAGCGTAGACTCTGGCAGTTTATTATAGAATCTTACGCAATTACCATAAAATGAATTACTAACTTTGTGTAGACGGCATTTAGGTAAAATTAGCTTATTTTTATTGCGTAAGTTTCTACTTGTACAGTCTTTAAGTTTCTTGAAACTATCTAAGTTTTTCCTTGTATACATAATATTTTCATAAATGTACTGTGAGGCAACGGTGAGGATATTTGATTGTTTAAAGCATTGACGTAATGACTCTCTAGAACCCATACCATAAATAGAACGTATGGCTCTCTTTTGTAAAATAAATATAGTATTTATATCGGCAGCTTTACCCCATAGCAGTATGCCATATGACATAATGCTATGGAAATAACTAAAATATACAAGTTTTGCCGTCGCCACGTCTGTTAATTGCCTTATCCTTCTAATTGCATAAGCAGCAGAACTAAGTCTACTGGCTAATTTTGAAATATGGGGCCCCCATTGTAACTTCGAGTCCACTGTTATTCCTAAAAAAACTGTATCATTAACAAAATTTACTATTTCATCATTAAGCAATAGCTGCGTATTTACTTGTTTTACATTAGGCAGCGTGAATTTAATGCACTTAGTTTTGTTGGAGTTCAATAATAGATTATTACATGTGAACCAATTTAGTATAGCAGAGATAGCATAATTTACATCGTCTAATTGATTACATTGGCGACCAATTTTAAATACTAACGAAGTATCATCCGCAAATAACACTATATCTGCAACTTTCTCTACCATGTAGGGAAGGTCATTTATATAAATTAAAAAGAGAAATGGGCCCAATATTGAACCTTGAGGAACGCCCATTTTTATATTAGTTCCCTTAGACTTTACACCATCAATATCTACAGTTTGCACCCTATCCTCTAGATAAGTTTTCATTAGACTTAGGTCATTATCTCTAATACCATAATGTTTGAGCTTGTACAAAAGTGTTTCATGATCTACGCAATCAAACGCCTTCGACAAGTCACAAAAAACGCCGAGAGCATCCTGTGAGTTTTCCCATGATTCGAATATATGTGTAATAAGCGCTACACCTGCATCAGTAGTAGACTTGCCGGCAGTGAAACCATATTGCTGACTGTGAAGCAGTCCGTTATCCCTGAAGTATTTTAACATTTGGTTAAACATAATCTTTTCAAATACTTTACTTAGAACTGGCAAAATAGAAATTGGTCTATAGTTGCCTAGCTCAAATCTATCTCCAGATTTAAAGAGTGGAATTAATTTGCTAAATTTCATTAATTGAGGAAACACGCCATTATCAACACATTTATTGAAAATAGTAGCTAGATAAGGAGCAACAATATCTATGAATGTACTAACTACTTTAACTGACATGTCCCAGAGATCTTCCGTATTTTTTAAATTTAACTGTTTGAATATTTTTATGACATGAAAAGGGCTGACATGTGAAAATTTAAATGTTAAAGAGCAAGGGCTGACATTAGCCTCCAGTAATGTTTTTGCTCGAATTGGAGATGAGTCTAGAGAAGATGTAATATCAATCGGAATATTAGCAAAAAAATCTTGAAAAATATGAACTATATCTTTTGTTGCTGTTATTAACTTATTGTCATAATTTAATGAGAATTGATTGCAGGCTTTTTCAGACCGTCCAGTTTCTTTGTTTATAATTCCCCAGATGGTCTTAATTTTGTCAGAGGACTGATTAATTTGTTTATTTATAAAATTAGATTTAGCTGCAATACAAACTTGTTTGAAAATTTTAGAGTAATTTCTCACATAAGTTGTAAATTTGTCATCAAATCTATATTTTTTTTGATCATATAAATCAAATAAAATGTTTCTACTTTTAAGTATTCCTACTGTTGCCCATTCTGTAAATTTAGATTTAACACAATATTCTCTTTTCTTGAAAATATTCTGGTATTCTTTTGACAAAAGACTAATTAACTTGGTGTAAAGAATATCAGGATTATTAAGACTGACAGATTGTAACTCTAAGTCTAATTTATATTTAACCGTGCTTTTGTATTTATTAATATTGTAAGCATTTATTTGTCTTTTTGATCTTTTATTATTGGTATTTTTTTAGTCCGATTACTAAACTTAACAACTTGACCACAATGATCCGAAGGAAGTTTATTTATTATTAATTTTTCAATATACTCACAGTTACAAAAAACATTGTCAAGACAAGTAGCAGTCGTAGCGGTTACACGAGTGGGTTCCTGAAAGACATTACTCAAATTAAAAGACTGAAATAAACTAATAATTTTTGTACATGTGGGTGTATTACAAAGAATATCAACGTTAAAATCACCACACACAATGATTTTTTTACTGCTATTAAATACTTTTTTTAATATATCCTCCATCACCTCTTCAAATACATTATAATCACTATTAGGAGGCCTATAAACACATATAAGTATATAATTATCTAGTTCTATACATGAGATTTCTGTACAACACTCAATAGAAAGTCTAACAATGTCAGCACGTTCCTTTACTTTAATATTATTTCTTGCAATTATCATAGACCCACCTCTGTTAACTGACTTTCTATTGAAGCAGCTGACAACATTATAATTATTTAAACTGAACATCATATTGCTTTCTTTAAGCCAATGTTCAGTGAAACAGATAATGTCAATATTGTATTTTTCCAAAAATAATTGTATAATTAATTCACTGCCGGGAAAACTTTGTATGTTCTGATGAACAATTACCAATTCTAATTGCTTTCCCTTTGTCTTTGTTAGCAGTTTAAATCTGCAGTCAAATTACTTATATCACTATTTAAACAAAAATTAATAGAATCATTTGTTATGTCACAATTTTTATATTGAAGTTTACCATGTAAACTGTTCATGAAGTCAATATTATAAGCCACTAAAGTGGCTATTTTATTCTTAGAAGATTTAGAAAGATACATTGTATCTTTTGTCAAATAAAAATCACTAATAAAACTATTAGTGTCAAAAAATGTAAAAACGTCACTATGACGACATGTCAATGTATGTAATAAATTATTAAGGTAATGTACCTTATTGTTAATTTTTTTATGATAATGGCTACTTGTATAAGGAAGAGCGCACAATACAATCTTATATACATTCAATTGTAACAAATATTGAATACCTTTAATTATATCCTGTCTATTTAATTTAATACTATTACCAAAAAATAACACAACTGTGGTCATTTTATTCATTTTAGTAGATTTAATTTTGTTAATAATTTGTGCAAATGATGCCCCTGGCATACAGTAATTATACGCACAGTCCAGCCTGCTCGCAATCATGCTCAGGATGCTGTTATAAACGCAAAAGTTTATAAGTATGGATGGATATTTGTTATTCTTCCACTCAAAAACTATTGCACGGATTTTGATGAAACTTTACAATAATATAGCATCAGAATAATACATAGACTAAAATTTCATCCAGGTGAACCCGATTACACTTCATACTAATCATAAGAGTTTTGTGCAGATTTTTGTTCTCTACAACTTTTATTTGAAACATTTTTTTATATGTCTCACTATTATCGAGTTTTAAAAGAAAGCGGTTTTCAACCCTTTTTTTAATGTTTTCATCCCTTTCCCATAAACTCAAATACTTATTACAGTACAATACTTATTATTATTTATATATTTGTGGCTTTTTTTTATATTGCGCCAAAACTGGTCACATCATGTATAATTTTAAATTCTACTGGACTATGAATAAGATATTTTAAGAAATAATGACGTCAGGACCTGAAATTCCATTACTGTAATATATATGTAAATGAAGGTCATTGATATTCATTATTTGATATTAGCGCCTATTCGCAGATTTATTTAAAATATCAGTAATTCTGACGTCACTTATTGAGGAAGTTTCTAGGTTGAAACAGATTTGATAAATAATAATTAATCATTACATAGTATAAAACAAAGTCGCTGTTGCTGTCTATCCGTCTCTATGTATGGTTAAATCTTTAAAACTACGTACGTATACGTAAATATATTATATATATAAACCTACCCGTGCAAAGCCGGGGCAGTAGCTAGTATAAAAATATAATAAAGATTGAAATTGATTAAAAAATAATCTTTGTATTTTAAAATCTCGTGTCACGTTGTTTGTCCGCGATGGACTCCTAAACTACTGAACCGATTGCAAATTTGATTTGCATATTGTGTGCAATTTGATGCATCTTGAAAGATAGCTTACATCTTAATTTATAGTCGCAATATTATTTCATTGCCTTCCCCACAGCAACGCATGGCCGAGTCTGCTAGTATTAATATAAAAATACATTTGATTTACATTTGTACCAGTTGAATTTCTAGTCGAGTCTTCACAGCTGAAGTAAATTTTTTTTTATTTTTTAGACAAAACTTTTAGTTTCCAAAAATTTTGTCTAAAAAATAAAAAAAAATTTAGAAGTGGACCACCCCTAACATTTAGGGGGATTCTCAGATCTACTCAATATGCTCACAAAATTTCATAAGAATCGGTCAAGCCGTTTCGGACATTTGTACTAGTTGAGTTTCTTGTCGAGTCTTCACAGCTGAAGCAGCTAGTCAAACTGGACGGTAGGGACATAAATAGAAAGATAAAGAAAAGATTTTATTTTTTTTTAAATAAAAAATAAAAATTTAGGGGTGGACTACCCCTAACATTTAGGAGGATGAAAAATAGATGTTAGCCGATTCTCAGACCTACTCAATACGCTCACAAAATTTCATGAAAATCGGTCATGCCGTTTCGGAGGAGTATGGGAACGAAAACTGTGACACGAAAATTTTATAAATAAGATATTATGCACAATAAGAGTTATTATTTTTTTTTATAACACAGGGGACAAACGAGCATGCGGCTCACCTGATGGTAAGTGATTACCGCCGCCCATGAGCACCCGCAACACCAAGGGAATTGCAAGTACGTTGTCGGCCTTTTAAAAAGGAATAAGCTCTTTTCTTGAAGGTTTCAATATCGTATCGGTTCGGAAATACCATTGCTGGAAGGTGATTCCATAATGTGGTTGTGCGAGGCAAAAAGTTTCTAGAAAACCGCACTGTGGAAGACCGTCATTCATCCAGATGATCAGGATGGTATTTCAGTTTCTGGCGGGTGGTACGGTGGTGAAACTCAGCAGCTGGTATTATTATTATTATTATTAACCCCTTAAATTTAGTTTAATTTTTACGAGTTTTGATTGTGATAAAAAATTTTGTTTTTAGGTCAAAGATTTGCATACATAACAATGCGCAAAGCTATGGCTGCCATATTCCTAAACTTCGAAGTACGGCCATTACCCAATACTCCAAAGCCTGATGAATGCGAGATAGAGAAGAAGGGCATGTTCTTGATGCCAGGACAGGTGATGTCTGTGGAGTTTGTGCCTAGGAAGAGACCCGTTTAATGTTAGGGAAGAAATGTATAACTAATGAAATAAGTTATGTAAACTAACACAAAACGATGTCTCAAATGACATTGAGTATGTTTAATAAGTAAATTTAGATTTTATTATTAATTGATTTTGTAATAAATGTTAAAGAAAAACAAATTTGTTATATTTTAAAATAATATTGAATGAATAGAAAGTGGATCCTAATATTGGTACTTATATGTACTTTGTTACACCGAACATAAATTTTCTTCCTTTAAATAAACATAAAAGAAAAAATATTTATTCACTGGTTACAATAGAAACAAAAGCAAAAACGCAAATTAAAATGTATGTATATTTAAGTATTATTAAACAAGCTGTTCCCGCGACTTCGTCCGCGTGGAATTTAACTTTATTTTTCTAAAATAAAAGTAGCCTAAGTTACTCCTTATTACAGCAGCTACCTGCCAAAAAAAATTCCGTCAACATGCATAACGTAAAGAAATGTTATTTCTCTAAGAGAAATTACCGTTTTTTACTACATGCATATGAATATAAATACGGTACATACACCAAAATAACATTTTTTACCATTTTTATCTGACTGTCTGTCTGTTTATTCCACGCTGAGCTTCGACCTTTTTGTATTGCTAGAGATACACTTAGATTACACACATAATAACACGATTTTATAAATTTTATGTTGTATTATGTATTTTTATATTCTTATGAACATGTTATGTGTGTGACTAGTAACAAATAAATAAACGATATATCTATCTATCTAATCTCTGAAATGGCTGGACCGAGTTTGACGGGATTTTTTTTGGCAAAATTTTGTAACTGATGTAATAAGGAGTAACTTAGGCTACTTTTATTTTAGGAACAATAATATAAAATTCCACGCGGCCGAAGTCGCGGGTACAGTTAGTATATAAATATATATAGACATGATCCATTTACGACTATATTATACTGTATGATCTTCCAAAAACACTTGAGCGCTAACAACTGCGATTTCATTGAAAGTGTCTAAATATATTCTACATTATTTTTTCCCTCGCAATTCGTTTCCATCAAAGAGTTATTGCCGAGGGACACAGTGAAATATAGGAGTTGTCGGGACTGGGGAGAATTAAGATTATTTACCCCCCAATTCTCAAGAGGGGGGTGGAAAAAAATTTAAACATCGCGGAGCATTTATTAAAAGCGAGCGAAATTATTTAAATCAGAGACAGAGGGAGCCCAGGAGAGTCCCGCCACATAAATAATGGTGGATAATCGATTCTTGTTCCTGTAAGTTATAATGGTCCAAGATACGACATCTATGCATATATAAATAATAATAATAATATTGTTGAGGGCACCACTATATCTAGTATGTATTAATTATAAATATAGTATCTGTATAATTAAATAGTACTGTTAAAGAAAGAAGAAAGAAAGTAAAATATTTTATTCAGTGCAATGTAAAAATACAATATAAACAACAAACGAACAAAAAGAGCAAATTAAATGTACATATAATTAAACTTAATTTACCATAATTAAAAAATAAACATAAAATAAACATTTTTTACATCCAATAATGCACTGAAATGGCTCCACTCAGCTTTAATGTATGTCCTAGGTGAACATACAGCTGGTTTTCAGTGGCACCAAAAATATATATATAAAAGGGGGGAGAGAGAGAGGGCACTATTTTAAATATTAATGATAATAATTAAAACAAAATTACAACTAATAAATACAAACCAATTACATATACTAGAGATAACAAAATAGAATAAAATAACATTAATAAATAATAAACATTAAATATATATACAACTACGTTGCCGTAAGATTTATAGGTTAAATAGTACATAGATAATTCTTGTATAGTTTTTTAAAGGTGAATAATGATTTGGCGATTCTAACTGGCGGTGGAAGATTGTAAATAATGTAGCAAATAGGTTATATATCTCACAATGATTATCTATAGAATGCAAATGTTGTTTACGTAATTTAGTTCCGAAATGAATACTAGACGGCGCTGTTACATTTCTGAAACTCGATAATATTTCGTTTTCATCGATTGATATACACGATTGTAAAATTTTATTATTCAGTGGTCCACCCCGACCACACTTTTACACACACACACGACACCGTCCTCGCCGGCGAAGACGACGACCTCAAAGACACAATATCGCGCATTCAACCGGGCGCCTGCACACGCCCGGGCGCTCCACACCGGCGTCCCCGGGCGCTCCTCCGATCGATCCCCCGTCCAATTCAAACGGGGATCGAAATTACGACGGCCTGGGCCGAGATTCGAACCCCTAGTGGTGCCCTCAGACTAAAGTCGTATCCGTCAGGCAGGAGTTGGCCTTCAGCCGCTCCATAAGTCCTTCCGCGGGTTTGGAGTGCCATCTGCACTCGCCCCATAACGTCCGGTAAAGCTGTAAAGGCCAGCTACGGCCAACAGCATTAGAGTAGTCCGAAAAAAAAAAATATTATTCAGTATTTTGTAACACCATTTTTTGATATCATTATACTCTTTCCCTCGTATGTGGTATTTCATTTCGAGGTTCTTGGGCTGTCTGAATATCGCGACGTGGACGTCATCAAATATCTCTGGTCAATTCACACAACGCTATCTAGTCCCAAGCTAAGCACAACTGATATAAATACATGGATACATTTTTTGTAAATAACTACATATTATACATAGAAAACACCTAGACCGATACAAACAATCACACTCATGAATACACATGTTTGTACCGTGCTAGGAATCGAACCCACGACCATCGGATGGAAAAGCGGTGTGCTAAACCACTAGACCACCGAGGCTGTAAATATAATTGGAATTATAAATAAAATTGGAGTGTCTGTTTGTAATATCGAAATAATCGTTTTTTACTATATATATTATAAATACGGTAATATCGAAATATCATTTTTTACAATTTTGTCTGTCTGTCTGTTTGTTCCGGCTAATCTCTGAAATGGCTGGACCGATTTTGACGAGACTTTTATTGGCAGGTAGCTGATGTAATAAGGAGTAACTTAGGCTACATGTATTTCAGAAGAATAAAGTTAAATTTCACGCGGACGAAGTCGCGAGTACAGCTAGTCTAACATAAAAATGTTCTCATTATCAAAGAAAAGATGAGGGTGCATATCCTCATGCCGTATCCCTTACTATAATGACTGACAAATTGCTGTGCGGTACCGACTGAGTTTGACTGGTTGGCATTTTGATAATGTCACGCGATGGCAAACAGTTACCGTCAGTTCATAATACATTACACCAGCTTGTTGGGCTTTGAACGATTATATAATGTTCAACAGAAATAGTACGAAATTATAGAACCGCTTCAAAATTACGTAGTTTCAATGATTTAAGCACACATAGGGACAGACAGCGACAGCGACTTTGTTTTATACTATTTGATAGCTGTCCCGGCAAACGTTGTTTTGCCATATAAATTAATAACGCTATAAAAAATAGGGGTTGATGATAGAAGGGTGAAAATTTAGGATTGTATGTATTTTTGTATGTTGTATCATAAAAAAATAGAAACTAAAAATTTTGTCTAAAAAATAAAAAAATAATTTAGGGGTGGACTACCCCTAACATTTAGGGGGATGAAAAATAGATGTTGGCCGATTCTCAGACCTACTCAATACGCTCACAAAATTTCATGAGAATCGGTTAAGCCGTTTCGGAGGAGTATGGGAACGAAAACTGTGACACGAGAATTTTATATATAAGATGTAATGAAGCTCGCCCTTTCTTTAGAGTTAGTTGTCTAGGTCCGTCAGGGACAAGATATCAAGGATATTCATAAGAGCAATAGTTTATATTAACGCAAGTATCAATTTTATTTTTAACTAGCTACCCACCCGGCTTCGTACGGGTATACATGTATTATACATATAAACCTTCCTCTTGAATCACTCTATCTGTTAAAAAAACCGCTTCAAAATCCGTTGCATAGTTTTAAAGATTTAAGCATACATAGGGACAGACAGCGACAGCGACTTTGTTTTATACTATGTAATATATATATTGTTATATATTGTAATATATATAGTATGAAGCTAACAAGAGATATAACCAAAAACTTAATAGGCAGATTTCAATTCGACCAACTATTATTATGAAAATTTCTTGGCCCAACTTTTCATTGGGTACAGAGCGGGCCGGGTCGTAATAGCCCTTACGTAATTGTATAACTGTCTGTCTCTATAATGTATTTGTTTAGGCCTCGATCTCGATTACTTAGCGGCCTGTTGTTTTAGTTTCAGATATTTATGGAGCTCGGGATCCGAGGCAAGTAACTATTCTGTATCGTTTGCTTAAAATTCCATTAGTTTGTGTGTTGTTTCTAATTAATTTGTTATAATTGTTATATTATGGAAACGGAGAAGCGTATTTTGGATTTTTATATATACTTTGTTAAACAAGCTAACTGCTATAATATAGGAGTAAATAAAAGTAAAATATAGCATAGGAGTCTGTCTTAAGATGAACTTGGATAAGACGAAAATCATGCCAAATACCAGAGTTGTACTTACATAAAAATCGGAGATTCTACATTCGAAATTGTCAATCACTATATATATTTAGGGCAAACTATCCAGCTAGGTAGGTCCAATTTTAAGATATAGGTCAATCGTTGAATCCAACTTGGATGAGCAGCGTTCGGGACGAAAATCATGCCAAATACTAGAGTTGTACTTACTTACATAAAAATCGGAGATTCTACATTCAAAATTGTCGATCACTATATATATTTAGGGCAAACTATCCAGCTAGGTAGGTCCAATTTTAAGATATAGGTCAATCGTTGAATCCAACTTGGATGAGCAGCGTTCGGGACGAAAATCATGCCAAATACTACAGTTGTACTTACTTACATAAAAATCGGAAATTCTACATTCGAAATTGTCGATCACTATATATATTTAGGGCAAACTATCCAGCTAGGTAGGTCCAATTTTAAGATATAGGTCAATCGTTGAATCCAACTTGGATGAGCAGCGTTCGGGACGAAAATCATGCCAAATACCAGAGTTTTAAAAATCGGAGATTCTGCATTCGATATATATATTTAGTATCCAGCTAGGTAGGTCCAATTTTAAGAAATTGGATGAGCAGCGTTCGGGAAGCTCCAGGTCCAATAATCGCAAATATATCATTTAGTCCAAATTTCCGCAGTGTCTCAAAACGAAAGAATTTACGGCACAGAACAGTTGTCACCAAGTATAGGCCACATGAATAAGCTCAGAGTCACTCAGAGCGCAATGGGCTATGCTCGGAGTTTCTCTGCGTGATCGTATCAGAAATGAGGAGATCCGCAGAAGAACCAGAGTGACCGACATAACCCGAAGAATTGCGAAACTGAAGTAGCATGAGACATATCATGTAGGACAGATGGCCATTGGGGCAGGGGGACCGCGGACCGGAAGATGTAGAAGACCTCCAGCAAGGTGGACTGACGATCTGATTAAGATCGCTGGAAGGCGTTGGATACGTGCAGCACAGGACCGATCGTCGTGGAGATTTTTGGGGGAGGCCTTTGTGCAGCAATATACGTCTTCCGGGCTGAATGATGATGATGATTATAATACAGGAGTAGGTATTTGCGTATGGGAGTAAATCGCCGCAGCTCATATCGAAAGAGTCGCAGGTTGCCGACCCCTGGTCCATATACTTGAGCCGTACTACAAAAACAGACGTCATGTAGTGTCGTAATTGACATAACAAATATCTTTTTATTCAAAACTAGTTATTACTCCCGACTTCGTTTGCGTGGAAGGGAACTTTTTTCGATTAAAATAAATAAAACTTCGAAAATAAAAATGGCCTACGTTACTCCTCAGAACATTAGCTATCTGCGAGTGAAAGTTTCGTCAAAGTCGGTGCGGTCGTTTCAGACTTTAATAAGAACAAACAGATAGGCAGAGTCAAAAAATTATCTTTTGATGTAATTACCGTATCTACATTAATATACATATAGTGAAAAGCTGTTAATTTGAATTTTCTTCTTTCTTTTCAATGGCAACTAAATGCACTTTCCCCAGAAAGTAGCGATGACTTTCGGACATCAGTTGCATTTTGTAGCTCTTTCTTTGGGTAGGATGATGAGTACAAAGGACAGGACAGTAGGTGAGCCATAGTCTAGGATGGCGCTCCACAGTAGCAAGCCTCCCTTGAAGTGACACCCCATTTTACCAAGTTATATCTGTAGTAGCCCATTTGTGTTCGCAGTTTTTTAAGCGATAAAGTCAAAGTCGACTTATGAAAGTCTAACCTTTTCTTCCCTCCATCCATCTATTCGTTACTTTGGACTTTATTTAACCAGCCGAACACCTGCCCCCAGGTACCCCACCTGCATGAAAATTTGTAATTACTAACTGACAATTCAATTTTATTTGTTTATATAGATTTGTATTTAAATTTATAGTTCTGTTATTGTACAATTGTCTGTTACTTGACATTAAAATAGTCGTTTAAAAAAATCACCGTTCTCCGAGTATTTTTCTTGTTTCACTATATACCAGCTACTCGTCCCGGCTTCGCACGGGTGTACATATATTATATATATAAACCTTCCTCTTGAATCACTCTATCTATTAAAAAAAACAGATTCAAAATCCGTTGCGTAGTTTTAAAATTTTAAGCATACATAGGGACGGACAGACAGCGACAGCGACTTTGTTTTATACTATGTAATGATTTATAAAATAATATGTATTTTATTTATTGAATATCAGGCCACATCTAGTCTTCTCATAATGCTTGTACCCATCAGACACTCATTCCGAAACTGAGAATTTTCTACTACACAGTGAGTGTTTCATATTAATTATTAAATCGACTCTTTAAATATGAAATAGTCGAAATTTTTCGTTGTTTTTAAACGCAATATGAAGTGAATTAATTTTAACTTTTCAATATGAATTCCTAACGAATTGTTTAAGTTTTATTACATCGTCAGCTCTAAATATTTTGATATCTGTGTGGTATTTAATTTTAACAATATTGAACATTGTTCCTAACATACTCTGCTCTATTTTGTTTATTTATTTAATAAAGGTAGGTACATTTATTTTTAAACAAAGACCCGCCTGCACTGTAGAATAATTCGTTGGGAAGATGTAGCTCATTCTTCTTAATAATAATACTTACTTACCTAGATACATTTATACACATAAATACATATCTAAATATATATAACTCAAAGGTGACTGACTGAGATAGTGATCTATCAACGCCTAGCCCAAACCACTGGACGGATCGAGCTGAAATTTGACATGCAGGTAGATGTTATGACGTAGGCATTCGCTAAGAAAGGATTTTGATTAATTCTACCCCCAAGGGGATGGAAGTTTGTATGAAACTTTGTCAATTTTAAACCGATCGGGAGACTTTGCATGCATAAAGCTACTATGACGTAGACATCCCTATAGAAAGGATTTTGATAAATTCCATAAAGCTACCTTCTTGAATAATTTTATTTATTAATTAAAAAAACGTTCAAAATTCGTTGCGTAGTTTTAAAGATTTAAGCATACATAGGGACAGACAGCGACAGCGACTTTGTTTTATACTATGTAAGGATTTATACAACTTTTTTATTTTACGTAGGTGGCAAACAAACATACAAAGGATAGGTATTTTGATAAATTCCATCCCTAAGGAAATAAATTAACGCGAGCGAAGCCGCGGGCAAAAGCTAGTTTATACATATAATATAATGATATTTAACAATAATTTATTTAGAACTAGCTACTCGCCCCGGCTTCGCACGGGTGTACATGTATTATATATATAAACTATCCTCTTGAAGTACTCTATCTATTACAAAAAAATGCTACAAAATCCGTTTCATTGTTTAAAAATTTAAGCATACATAGGGACAGACAGCGACAGCGACTTTGTTTTATACTATGTAATGATTTGTTGTATTCTTTCAAAATTTTAAAAAAGCATTATTATAAATTAGTACTGGTCTGCTCAAATCTGAATCTTTCCCCGTAATAATTGATAGCTCTATTTTAAACAAATTTACTCTATATGGTATTTCTCGTATTATAAATAATTTTTAATACAATTTTATGTTCATTATTAATATTATTATAATTATTACTCTTGTTTTATCGCTTGAAGACACGGCAAACTTAGACAAAGTGCTTGACAAAGATTTGCCGATTTTACCAAATGGGAGAGAAAACGGCACTACACGTCCTATAGGATAGAATAGAATAGAATAGAAAATCATTTATTCAAATAAACTTACATTGAAGCACTTTTGAATAGTCATCACATTTTTTTTATCTACCGCTCATTCGGAAAGCTGTCTCATCACAAGAAGAACGAGCAAGAAACTTGCGTGTTGCGTTCTATGTGATTGTAGGCCACTCATGCATAAACAAAATATTTCCTTTGGAAAGTACACACTGTTTAAAATATTTTTTGTATGTTGTATAAATATTAAAAAAAAAACATTATAAAACGTAGTTCTCCTATGTGTCAATAGAAAGAGCCTTTGATTTTAATGCATGATAAAGTAAAATGTATAAAAAGAATCAGCAAATACATACAGGAGGACACACACTAGGAGGAGGTAAAAACTATCGCTCCTAAGGATATCCTTCAATTCTTGTTCCTGTCGGGTCTAGAAATAGAAATAGAAGTAATCTTTATTCAAATAAACTCATTACAAGCACTTTTGAATAGTCATATTTTTTATTCTACCACTCATCAGAACGCAGGTTCATTACAAGAATGAATTTGTATTCATGAGTATGATTGTTTGTATCGGTCTGGGTGTTTTCTATGTACAATATGTAATGTAAATATATATTTACGAAAAAAATATCTATGGTCGCGGGTTCGATTCCTCGCACGACACAAACATTTGTATTCATGAGTATGATTGTTTGTATCGGTCTGGGTGTTTTCTATGTACAATATGTAATGTAAATATTTATGAAAAAAAATATCTATGTACTTGTATTAGTTATCTAGTACCCGTAACACAAGCTTTAGCTAGCTTAACTTGGAACTAGACTGGCGCTGTGTGAAATGTCTTGATTATTATTATTATGTTTATTACGATGTAATAAACATCATCATAATCGGATCGTAATCGTATCGTCATAGTCAGATTTATTAGTCAGCGCGGAGTTGGTATGATATAAATATAGCCCCCAAACGAGATTGCAATTAATTACACGTATTACTTAGAAACGAGCCCTTACTATAATATAGCTGATGCTGGGCCATTAAACTATCGGAACAAGTAACAATACATATAAACTACAATAATAATAGTCTTTGGACAATCGGTTCTGTAGTTTTGGCGTGATAGACAGAGTAACTTTTCTATTTATAATATTAGTAAGAATAAGGATTTTACTGATTTATTTAAAAATAACATAAGAATGTATTTGCAAGTTTTGTGTTATTTTTATTAATAACTATAAATATTAATATTAATTAATTAATATAGATATTTAAATATATTTGTGGGTATTCGTAATGGAATGACATAATTTTATATTAAATTGAATATGATTTAATTTGAATATTTGCATACCTCGAAGGGGTGCTGCATGTCATGTACATTTATTAGTTAATAAGATCTGAAACTACCATGTAGCAAGCAAATAAATAAATTATTAAATTATAAATTATTAAGTAAATTAATTACTGTTCGACAATAACAGGTTAGCTATATGTGCCCTATAAGATAGACTATATATATATATATAGTTAATTGATGCTAAAGTTAGTGCATGTATATACTTATAAAATACTTTAACACAGCGACTTTCAGACTATTTTTTGTCAGTTCTTCTCATCTCGAAATCATTCCTCCTGTGCTTGCTTGTAGGGACTGGTCTGTTCTAATCACTATGACTGATTTCCTCTTATTAATTGTTTAACCAGTTGATGTGTATTAAATTTTTTTTCTATTTGATTATTTAATTTTATTTAATTGAAGAAAGCTGAACACAAACTACCGATTGGCACTAAAATCAGTAGTTTATATTCACACACTTAAACTTAAATTGTAAAGTAAGAATAGAATTATTTAAAAGAGCAATACACAAGTTCCTTGCTCGTTCTTCTTGTGATGAGACAGCTTTCCGAATGAGCGGTAGATTAAAAAAAATGTGATGACTATTCAAAAGTACTTCAATGTAAGTTTATTTGAATAAATGATTTTCTATTCTATTCCGAACTGACCGTAGATTTAACATATCATAAGAGTCTATAATAGACCTACATGAATAAAGATATTTTGAATTCTGAAGTGTGCTATAAAAGTGACTAAGTTTTAGTGTAAAATATATTTTGATTGCACTTGACTGAGAGGAAGACAACTTATATTTATACCTCTTACGGTATTCTAAATACCGGTTTATATCTGGTTAAATAATATTATGTATATCCACATTATCAACAGTAACCTCTAAACTACGGACTAAGATAAGTATTATTATGAGATATCTCAAAATAGTTTATTACAAAGTCAATCTTTGCAACTGTTTCTCTGAATCTAAGTAAAAGAAACTGTAATAATAATAATAATAATAATCTCAGAACTTATTACATTAGAAAATATCTCGACCTGGCTCACGAGGTGACCGAAATGTGGGGGGTGGTGTCCACCGAAATCATTCCAATCGTTATATCGGTGAACGTTCTTATCCCAAACAGTCTGGAACAACATCTCAGACGGTTGGGATTCCGAGGCGGCTCACTCCTGGCTCACTCTCAAAGATGCAGAAGGCGGTGCTCGCATTGTACGCCGGTTTCTCTCCCTGGGGCCCTGAACCCCGGCCGACTGTGCTTCTGCCGGGGGTAAGTTGCCAACTCCTCTCTTTAAGAGGGGAGATGAGATTTCTTTTGGAAATATAAAAAATAATAATCTCAGGACAATTCACACAGCGCCATCTAGACCCAAGTTAAGCTAACTAAAGCTTGTCTTATGGATACTAGATAACTGATATAAATACATTTTTCGTAAATACATACATACATATTATACATAGAAAATACCATCATACCAATGAATACAAATGTGCCGTGCATGGAATCGAACCCGAGCCCATCGGAAGTAAGGCGGTGTGCTAAACCGCTAGACCACCGAGGCCGTCTAACAATAATAATAACACTAGACAATTCACACAGCGCCATCTAGTCCCGAGCTAAACAGAGCTTGTGTTATAGGTAGACAACTCATAGAAATACTCAAATATAGGTTTTGTAGAAATCACTCAGAGCGATACAACCATAATCATGAATGGAAATTTTTGCACCGTGCGAGGAATCGATTCCGTGACCATCAGAAGTGAAGCAGTGTGTGAAACAGCTAGACCACTGTCCTAGAGACAGTCAATTCTAGAAGTCAATGCTGTCACTTATATATATATAATAATAAAATACTTATGGTGCACGTGCAGGCACCTTTTTAGAATTAAGCGGCCGATGTGAAGAGGGTCGCAGTGGCCCAATTAATTTAACATCAGACTATAATCATAAACAAAAGAGTATATAAGCATTTCAAATAATAATAACATAATTCTCAACAATCATAATCATAACAATATTCTCACCGTTGCTTCTCAATTTATATATTCAAATATTCTATATGTTCATAAAAATCTTGACTTATTTCCAAAAAACAGCAATATTCATAATATTAATACTAGATTTAAAGACAAACTTGCTGTCCCCAAGTATCGTTTAGAAAAAGTCAATAGGTCTTTTATGGGAATAGGTATAAAAATTTACAATAAGATACCAAAGGATATATTGGAATTACCCTTAAATAAA